TACAAACTTTAATCTTGTTGTTGCTACTTTTGCCTTTGCTCTTGTTCGTAATATAACTGAGCTCATTTCACTTTGGCGAGAACTTGCAGATGATCTTAATGATGATTTCGAACTGCTTGATGAAACTGTTGATCTTTGTTCAAATGTTATATCATTGATTCGGTTTTTTATTTGTCGCGTTGCTGAGTCTATAAGTATTCTACATCCTTGATGTGTCATTCTGTGTGTCTGCGCAAGTTCTTTGCTGGCAAGCGTACCCCTGCGCTGACAAAAATCAATTAAGTTCAGACACAGTTCCGAGTGTTTTTCTCCACATGTTGCTAGTTCTTTTTGGACTGATTCCAAGTCCTCAATGGTCGAACATTGCGGAATACGATTAAGGTGGTCTGCTATTTGATCATATGCCTTGCATATGTGTTTGTTTCGTTTGGAATATTCATCCTCAAAATGTTGTTGTCCTTTCTCGGTGGACGTTCTGGGACGTGGTGTTAACGAATCATCTGATTCGGACATGCTGAATTGCCTTTAAACGGGGATATTTTACTGTTCTGCCTTGGCACTGCCGCCTTACAGTTAGTTAACCAGTAATGATGTAACTACATGTGATTTATAGAATTTATTCCATGATGATGAAGTTACATACATGTTTGTGCGGTAAAATACTGAAATACAAATAAAGAATCATAAACACCTGATCTTAGTGAAATTACTACTTTAACTGATTAAATAAATCAAATAAAAAGTATATAGAATAATAGAAACAATATTAATTTCCTATGTGAAATGCACTTAAAAACAATTAAACTTATTCATTAAAAAGATAAAATTGAACACCTAAAAGTGGCACTAATTGCGTTCCATAGATTTTTCTTTAAATAAAGTATGACGTATCAACATGCTATCAAGGTTATCTCGTGTATTTATACCAAAATAAACAAAACTTTTATTCAGATACATAATTAATATAAACAAAAATAAGTATGCAAACTTATTCAATAACACCTTCTTGACATTCGTAAAATATTGAAAAGTCATTAAATAACGATAAAGCGTGTGTTTCATCAGTTAAGATAACACGATGTGAAAGTGTATGCGTGTGTTGTGTAACAAAGGTGAACAATGAAAACTCTTAATCAAAGTAAATAAAATGAATAATGAACTTACGAAAATAAACAAAAATACATTTGTGATAATTGCAAATTAAATTAATTAATTACTTACTCCGTGATAGGCCGTAGATCAAGAAATTTAACAATGAGATGAGAACAAAAACAAACACGTGATATGATTTTGATGTGGCTGCTGTGGAATGTACGGCCGACGTGATTAATAAAAAGGTTTTAAAGTGATAGTAACAAATTGTCAATTATTCGACAGAACAATATTTTTTTCGTTTGTTGTTTTGTACATCAATCAGGCCTTTGTTTTTTCTCGTTTGAATTGTTAAACATTTTGTCATATCGGGGCCTTTTATAGCTTGCATTAAGGTATTGGTTGTACCTGCGTTACGGTGTATAATAGATAAAATGATTTCTTATACATCAGTTATCATGGTCCATTTGCAGAACTCATAGTATGGCCAGACATAAATCTACCATTTTAACAACCAACCCCTCTGCTGTCAGATTTGTGATCGTATTAGGTATCAGTGGCACGGAGCAAAATAGAGGTCATACCAAACCGCTGGTACCATGACATACGTTCAGAATCTCTTGTTATGGTCAGCTGACAATAGTAAAGTTGAACTACGACGCTGGCCAATAAGTTTGGTTGTCCTGGAATCTCTTCATTTAACGGTATGTTAACCAAATGAATGAGCTTAACGGAGGAACGAAATAACCGGACTTAATTGTATGTGACATAACCGTGTTCCAAGCCTGACCTTATAATGCAGCCAGATTCGTGAAGGCATAAGTATCTGTTGTATGGTGCATAGTAGAGGCCATGCCAACCTCTGACTTCAGTACTATGGTGAATGAGGAGAAACTCGGGAGTTTGACTAGCATTACATAGTCAAGATGACGCTGTGACACACTGGGTTCACCCCATTCCCACCATATGCAACAAGACTCTAGTTTAGGTTATATGAAATACGAAGCTTTCTAGATGCAATGCCTTTCTCTACTTCCGGTACTATGGTTAAGATTAAGAATATCTTAGTATAGCCAGTCAGAAATTGTTAAGTTTGGCTATGTTACATACCCGGTACCACTGGTCATCCCATCCACCCTATGCTGCCAAATTCATGAAGATCTATGGTAAATAAGGTACGGTGGATATAGAGGCAATGTGTATATCCATCTACCTTTAGTACTTTAGTACTGTGGTCTACTTGGGGAATGTGCGCATGCATCTGGTTAAACTCAACCACATTTCGTGACTACCAATATATGCTATCTAGAACATTTGTTTATCACTTTTTGTATTTGTATGTGAATTATTTCAGAGGAATATGTTCTTTTTTCGTTAAGTTCTATTATCCTTGCATTTATTACATTGACGGAGAAAGCATGTAGACATATATATACGTTAAAGTAAGGAAGCCGTCAGCTGGTAGTTTCTACACATGCAGATGATGTAAGAAACAGAGTATTATTATTTAACATGTTTTTACAGTCCAATCTTTTTTTCAAAATAATGACACAGTCCTAGTTCCGTTAAAACTGTTGACTGCCAGTAACTCATTTTATAGATTTTATTTTTTAAAAATTTTCGTTCATGAAATATGGTCTAAATAGCAAAGGGAATTATGTGTACACACGTAAAACTGATCTAAAATCATCACCGTTTATTTTGATGAAAATGTTGTGACTGTACCAAAGCTATCTGGACGATTTCAATTACACCACTTGGAACTCTTCGTTTAATAGCTTCTTTGTAAGAAGCAACACTATATCAAGGAAATCACGTTTCAACTTAAAGATATATATACCGCGTTAAACATAGTCACCAAACTTTGAATTAGTTAGTGAGAGGACAGTGATAGTTTATTTTAATTCTTCCTAGGAATCCCCTGTATGAACTCAACTTCATATAACGAAAGGAACAAGTCAGCAAGAAGAGGACCACAGTTGATTCCCATGGAAATGCCGATTGTTTATAGAAAAAAATTTCAGTTGAAGAAAACTTGAATCAGAGTGATTTTTTTTACAAAGAACGGTTTATCTGTAAGTTTGGAATGGCGTACACTTGTGTAAAGGACAGAACAGTCAAATGTTTTAATACTATTACAAGAACAAAGAGACTTAAATTGTATGTACTTTAACATATCTTTTGAATCTTTAAGTGTCCACATCTGATTCTCGCCGCCCCAAGAGTAGGTAGTTTCACAATGACTATGAAGCCGGGCTTTGTTGGCTGATAAAATTGATGTTAATAATTTATAATTAGGCTTCCTGTAGCACTTGGAAGAACAAACAATATCACGTTGTTTATAAGGGCACTATCTACGTCATCTGTTCTGCGCTTAGATTATTACCTGGCATAATCATCGACTCAGTATTGTGAAGTTTTGTTTCCAATTGATGGATTAAAGCTCACAATATTTCGGGCCTCTGGATACATTTCGGAGAGAAGTGTTTTTAAAATGTTCAGGTCACCAGTAAAACGTGGCCAGCCGGATTATATATGAATGGGAAGCTAGCACATGTGCAATCTGGAGGTTTAGACTTGAAGTCATCAATATTGAGATCCTGCACCACGTGTTTGTATGGAACTGATTTATGATGAAGGATATTGTCCAAGTTGATGGCATCGATACCTTGGTTGGCAAAGAAAAGTTTTAGAAAGGAAATATTCTCCTTTACATCTTTTCCAATGTGAACCAGTCACAAAAGTCAAATAGAACAGTACGAAAATTTTTAAGGGAACCTCCCCCAAAACAAAATAATCATAAGACACTCTTCATTTGATATTGATCGATAGCAACTACCCAATCATAAATGTTAACATCAAGGGTGACATGTCAAGTAAATAGGTGATAAAAATTCAGCGAAAATCATCTGATTTGATGAGGGGTCAGTACTTGTACTATGGCATTACATGTATATGGTTGGCAATATCCGAGATGATACCTGTAGTTTTATAATGGTTTTAAACGGGTTTTAAAACATTGTTTTCCAACCATAAGTTGTACAGAGGATGAAATTTTGGATGAGATAGTAAATAACGCTTTGTGCGAATGTGATGAATACCCAACGGCTTTTGTATAAATGGCAGAAGGTCATTAATAGAAATACATGTAGAGTAGGTGATGTATAATGGTAATGACCATGACTGCGTCTACGTCGATGAGCAGAGTTGAAAATATTCATCACAGTCACCGAGCTACAGATAGAACTAGTTAGATTACCTATATAATCGATTTTGTCAATGCAACCTTATGGTGTCGCAGTTCCCAGTTACAGAATCCGGTAGTCTTCTTTTTGTCTACGGAGATGTGTTGAAAATTTCGATTTTTGTATGCGTTCAAATGCGCATTTCTAGAATAATCTTTATTCGGCTCAGACACAAATATAGAGGCCGTCTAATACCAATAAAAGCAAGTTTGGTCTGAGCAAGGGAAAACGGCTAAAAGGAATAAAAAAAAATCTGGTGTGATTAATTCTTGTTTCTATGTAACCCTTTGAAATGAGAAACGTTTTTTTCCGTTTTTTGGTAAAAAATTTACAGCAATTTATTCTTTATTTTATCTTAATTCCGACCTCGCTAACATGAACACTAATACAAAAGTAGAAATTTCATCTTTTTGGAATAGGTTAAAACCGTTCAACTGTAAAATGCTATTTTAAAATTATTTATAAAAAAATATTTTTATGATGAAGCAGCCACAGCAGACAACTGAATAAAAATTTTAAACAAACATACGAATAAATCTAATAAAGACATTTTTGTAGTTGATAGTAAATTTGACAAGGACGCCAACAAAAACGTTTTTGTAGTTTATAGTACATACCGTCTATAGTATACTATATGATTATTAACAATCATATTCTTTTTATTTTTTAACTAAGGCGAATATTCTTTTACTGCAGGTATACCTGGTATAATCGAAATGGTCTATCAAAAATACTAAGTTTCTTATTTAGTATAAAATAGAATATTTAATTCCGTTTATGAAAAGTGACACCATTAAGCAAGGGAACAAACAATACTGTGCATGTTATAATGTAACTGAATTAATATAGAAAGAAGAATGCATATATGGCATACACACATATACAATTTCCTACTTATAAAAAGTAACTTTAACATCTTAAGCCCTCGGTAATCTTGCCGTCTTCCTTTCAACTAATCTGTTAATTTGTTCCAAGGTAATTCCAGATTCTTTTGCTGAATATATGTCACTAGCACTTGAATTTGGAATACTTAAACCTCCGCCGCCGCCACCTCCTCCTCCGCCGCCGCCTCCAAGGCCGCCTCCACCTCCGCCTCCAATGCCGCCTCCAATGCCGCCTCCTTCCCCGCCGCCTTTACTGCCGAATCCATCGCCGCCTCCACCTCTTATTCCACTAAATCCACCTAATGTCCTCGGAGTAATTCCCTTTTTGAATACTTTTCGGACTTCTGCCATTGAATATTTCGATGCTAATAATTTAGCATTAACCGAAGGGCCTTCTATAGCTTTATTGTTCTTGACTAATTGTTTCGATTTAGCACCTGATTTTTGTAATTTCTGGTAAACAGAATTGGCAATCTGATATTTGTTTATCGGTCCGTCTCCACCTCCTCCCATGCCTCCTCCCATGCCTCCCCCGCCTCCTCCGCCTCCTCCTCCATAGGCTTTTTCGATTTCCTGCTGTACCGCCGCATGAAACCTTTGTAATGACAATTCTTCCTGAGCTCCCCCTGTTATAACATTAACTAAAAGACGTGGTACTGACAAGGGGACATACTGGCCACCTGTAAGATAAGCTAAACCCATGAAAAAGTCTTTGTAAGGAACGATTGGTGGCTCAACGCCAATAATATATAATGTTACACCTTTCTGAGCCAAGTCTCTAGCTATTTGCATAGGATCGTGACCATTTGGAGATCCATACGGAAATGACGTGTCTTCAGACGGCACAAGTCCATGGGGAGGTGCATCAGATATCATGACACATATTTTAGTTGCATCCTGTCGCCATGACAATTTAGTTGCTTGGTACATAGCGTCTGCAACGGCTTCCGGTCGATCACCTCCTCCTCTAGCACGTGCAAAATTCAATCTCGATTTCATAATGGATACCGAAGACGTAAAGTCATTTTTTCGGGTGACAAAAGTCTTATCTTCTGGTGAATGGTCTCTATATTCTATTAATGCTAATCGTACATCGCTACTGGATGTAGCAACTATTTCCTCTACAATTTCTCTGATGTTCTGCTTTGCACTATTTATATACGAACTCATACTGCCTGTTGTGTCCATTAAAAATGCTAAGTCTAATTGTCCATGTTCACTTAGAGGTGTGTTTGGAAGTACGACATGAATTCCTTTCAAAGATTGTATTGGTGTTGTGTTAATTCTATTCATTAACAAGACACAAAATAACCAAAATGATATACAAGATTGTGTTGCCTTGATCATATTTTCATACACTTTTAATCCACATGTATAGAATAACTGATGTTGTAAGATGGTCACGGGCTTTTATATATTCTGATAAGTGACGTACCATTATTACTTTCTTGTGTCGTATTTCTAAAAATTCCCATATTTATTTACATTATATTTTGTAAAAATTTTACTAATTTAAAATCTTGTAGTACATTTATCACGTTTTGACGCAATGACAATGTACATGTAGATTTTATTTCTCGAAAAGATACAACTATCAACTTTAAGGATATGTTTAACACTCCAATAGATATTAAACTCCACCTTTGATCTGATTGTATTGACATGGTAAGGTGGATATTTCATAAAAAATATACATTTTTTTTTATATTAGAACTATATCCATCAACATTTTTTAATGCAACAATCGAAAATGAAAATACGCAAACATTAAAATATTAAGCGGAGTAATTATGATAAGAAAAACAACTGTCAAAAATACTGCCTTATGTTTTATATACATAGCGTTAGTTAATAAACTGCGTTTACATTTATGGTTAAATATTAGGTATTGACTATAATTTATTCCGCGTTTATTTTTTCTTAATTCTTAGCTGATAAATGTTCACCTTCATGCAATGAAGACATGACATGGGTTTGTTTGACAATTTGTACGTTCATGTTTGTGAATTTTTAGCTAATCAATTGCGTGCTTTTAACAAGCACTAATTAAAGTATCTTTTTTTTTTAAATTATACGTCTACTCATTTAATAATCCTTCTTTAGCTGCCCCAAATTTTCTATCTGAGTTGTGGTTAAATTCCACATGTGCATTGTTCAAATTTGTTAAAGGAAAAAATATATTAGCATTGAACAAATATCTTTTTAGGTCTTTTTTGTGAGCCTTTCTGGATTTATATTTTGGGGAATGGACGGTGCAGAGTTATGTCTAATTAATGTAGTTCCCACATCTCCTTTTATTCATATTTATCATTAACCTACACCATAATAATGTCGAAGGTAAAGTTAAATAATTTCTTACAGATACATCTTAAATAATTGTGGTAAACTATGTCCTTCGATTCTATTCCAGCTGATTTATGCATACTTTTAGTGGGTTTGGTGATAAAAGTATGAAACTTTGCACAATTGTAGATATTTATTTGATAGCCAATTGAAGCTATGGACCCACTCTGCAAAATCCAATATGGCCGCCATTTTCAAGCTGTCTGACAATAAGTCCATATTTCACAACCATGTATAATTTAGAGCAAATAATATTCAAACCAAATCATTAGACTTTTCATTTTTTTCCCTTCAAAATGGTGGAAAATTTCAACATGTCCGCAAAAAAATGAAAATGAATAGGCAAGGCTTTGCTGACATTGCTTCTATCGAATTGTATTTTGCAGTTCATACAATATTTTAGGGATTGCTTGCAAGACAATTTAATCAAAGATCCCATAAATGGAAACATTCGAAAGTTTTCAGGACGCCATTAGGATTTGTTTGACCGTTAAGTACTATTTGAGTCACAAATGATAATGGATATCTTTCACTTCTCTTTGCCATAATCCTCTCTTTTTCCTCGATTGTGGCAAGATGATCATCGAATTTCTACTTGCAATGAGTAACAACACGAGAGCTATCAGTTTGCCAGAAACTACACATCCTTCCGGAACACTTGCAATGTCTGTGCTGTCAACTAGTGAGAGTCTTGTTTATCTATCGTACAAGCATGGGAAACCTTATTTCACTTCAAACGTTCACATTCGGTCAAGTTTGTGATAATTTTCATGTACCATGTGTTTCTAGGAGGTAGAAAAGAGACATTTATAAATCCAATATTATATGATATATGCCTAATTACTGGATATGACTTATCAATCACTTGTTGAACAGGATCTGCTGACCCTTCTTGTGCACCTGCAATCATCCCCGGTGTTTAGTGGGGTTGGGGTTGCTCAATTGTTAGATTTTTGTATGGTGATATATTGACTGCTGTTAGTCTTATCTTACGTTTTTTATCCATTTGTTTTATCTGTTTTGTTTTACTAATAATTTTTGAGGACCTAAGTATCTTTTCCTTCTTTTTTATCATCTAAACAGCAACATATCTGCAATGCAGTTTTCAAAATGATTATTATTAAGGACAGCCAATTAAGTATTTGCCCCCACATCTCACCATATTTTAAACAGCACTTTACATACCATCATTGTCCTCGCTCATTTTTATCTACCGTCATATCCGTTTTATGTCTGTCAACCACATTTTATTAGCTCATTACAAAATGCCGATACCTTTGTGATAAATGTCCAATAGGATATATGATATCCCCATTTACTCGAAGTAGCACTCTGGATAAAACAGTCCCCTGCCTAAAGCTTTCACATTCAACTTGTTAATTACTATGGCCATTTCTAGACAAAACACCATTAAATGCTGTAGTTGTGTGATATTGATGGTCAATCTGATATTTTGCATGTCGGGGCCTTTTATAGGCGACTATACGGGATGGGTTTTTCTCATTTTATTTGAATTTTGGTGGATAGTTGTCTCATTGGCAATCATACCTCATCTCCTTATTTTATATAGAAGTAAATTTGAAATGGATAGCGTCGTATTTGCCTTATGGAATATCTCGACTGTATCTGAATATTTGGCCAAACGATTATCAACTAATGTTTTAATGACTGTGGAAAAGACTTTTGCTTACATCATGTCTTTCTAAACTACCTGCAGGTGCAGTTTTTTCAAGTATTGTTGTCATACAAATAGGTTGTTGCGGTTGCTTGTTGAATTGCAACACCAAAATAATCATTAAACAGAAGAAGCAAGCATCTGCCTTGTTAATGGCCTGTTATGCCTGAGATTACTGCATTTTTTCGATCATTACTATGTCCTCTTTCAGTTGATCATACAGTCAACTGTTCCGAGTCGAGAAGTATACATTCTAAGTAAGTCTAGCTTAAATATTGGAATAACGTTGTCTATACGTAATCCCACGTTGTAGACTTCTGTTCTGCAAGAATGGTACCGTAGTTACAATTTTCTATACTTTCCTCACAAATCTTTTGATGTTTGACTTTAGTATATAAATGTGGCATACACTTGGTATTTTCGGACACTTAGATTCACTGACGGTACGCCACTTTGTAACCTTCTATAAGTATTTGTTAATTTTGAAAACATGAAAAATTGGCCATATTAAATCGATTTACTTCCCACAGTAAAAAAAAGGAAAATCTTTTAAGCATATTGTTATAACTCTTTAATATTTTAAATCTAGAAGGTTTCAACAACGTCCTGATTTTGACCCTGTGAAGAAAACTTAGACAGGAGGAATAAGCCCTACTCTTTCAGTGTGCACAACACGTGTTTCTGAAGTAAATTTCATCAACAATGCTTGATATTTACCCTTTAGAATACCAAAGGCAAAATACATCCAAGAGTATCAAAAACAAATTGATCCTTAAACGTAACACAAAACATCAAGAGTCCACATTTCCTGTGTATCGATCATATTATCTACCAGAAAGAACAAACTTAACCATTATGCATAGTTATGTCATCATCACAATCGACGAGGTTTCAAACATATTAGACAATAACCGATCAAAATATAATTGATACCATAACCCATCCTCAACAACAATATTCATTACTACAAACGTATGATGTTCTTACTCGTAGGTACCCTTTGGTATGTACGCATAACGCCGAATCTTCTCTTTAGTTACGCATGTATAAGACCCTCTTTTGAGTGCATAGTATTTGTCATCTGTTTACAAATTTTCTATACTATTTTGTTAAGAAAGTAGAATACATTTGCTCAATTAAACACATAATTATTTCTGTTCGTGCTATATTTCGAAAACTATTTTCTTTGATATCAACTGAAGCTTTGTCGAAGAGCCGATATGATGGTAATGACTTGACTCTTAAGTATTCATCCTGAACGTAATAATATAAAAAATGCATTTCATATAGGCATTATATTTATTAACAAGTACTTTTTACGTACATTTTTGTCCATATTAAATAATTTTAATAAGATCAAAATCATGTATTTCTATTAATCAAGTGTTTTTCTAGACTCCCGCCTTAATTTTCACTGACATGACACATCATACGATAGATTTTTATAAAGTTTCATGGTTTTGATTATGCCAATTATTTTTAAATATGCTTTGCAGATGAACGCTCCATTATTCTATATTTGAAATAAAATGTTGAAATCAGTGTTTGTCAGAATTTGTCTCTTGATAAAAGTTGAAAATTGAGATAGAACTATCGCTTCCATTTAATTTATAAATAAAAGTATTTCCATTTATTATAGAATAATAATATATAGATAAGATCTCCCAATACAAGATGTATCATAGATGGTCTGCTCGATTAAGGATTGTTGCTTTGCTTAACGGGGATGATATTTTTAGAAGCTAATTGAGTCCAAATACAAAATACATTTCCAGGAAAAATGTTTTATATCCATTGAAGAAAATTAACTTATCTTATGACCTCACATTTTCTAGAAAAATTATATACCATGAAAATACAGAAGCTAGATAACACATACTGTCATTCCATAAACCAAAATTTGAAAGGAGTTGACCCGTCAAAAATTTCAACGGTGAACCAAAAAGCTATAAAAAATTGAAAAAAAGCTACTTTTGATTAACTCTAATATCAAGTTGGTATTTCTTTCATTCATTTTACCCATATCTACTCCTTAAAAAAAAACAGGATTGGTAATTCATGCTTTGAGTTGCTGATTCATATGCATAAACCCAAAGTTCAATTCTCAATAAACACGTGTCTGTAGTTAGTAAAAAAATCTTAAGTTTGACGTGAAGTGTACTACTATATACAAAAACCAAGTACTAAACTATTATTTATCATAGAATATAAAAACATGTTGATTTATTTACAACATGTCAACTTGGGACTTATACAACTGCGAAGAAAAAACCAATAATGTAAAATCTCCATAGACAAAGGGCGATAGCTCTAGCTTAATCTTGAAACTTGGAATTGAGATAAATGTTTTTATTGATTGACTAAAAAGTTTGTATGAAAATATCCATTCATAAAATTAGGAAAAAAGAAAGACTTTAACATAACTACTTTTGTCATTCCTTT